TTTTCTTGTCGAATATGAACAGAAATTTAAAACCAAATTGGCTTGGTTTCTTGCAAAAATTCTATATTAATTATTAACACTTTATAATTTTTTAGCAGCTTGTTAGTTTTTTTTTTTAATTATTTGTAAAATCTTACCATTCTAAACATAAAATAAAATGGAGAATAACATGACAAAAAATACCTCTTTAACTAATGTCATGTATCATAATTTATATTAACAAACTAATCATTGCTATAATAAGTAGATTTTGTCAAGGTATAATATAATATTAAAATTTATTTTAGAAATTTGATGTTATAATAACAAAATGAAAAACATATCATTATAATAAAAAATATTAAGTAGTTTTTATATTTTAAAATTTTGCATTTAGCCTAAAAAATCAATAGTAGCGGGCTCGTGATGGATTGATGGAAGCCAAACAAACTATTTGCAACTACTGTTCATGGGGATGGGGACTGGGGAGTAATAGTAAGTTGATTAAGTTTGGATATTAACCATGCAAACAGTGTTAAAACGCCAATTTAGAACAACGCAGTGCCTAATTTTTCGCCCTTTATCGACTCTGATAAACCCTAAATCATTTCTAGACATCAATTTCAGCTCCTTGGGTAACGTTGCAGCTCTTGACGATCACAAAGAGAATCACTTAAAATCGATTGATTTGGATCTTTTGGCTCAATTGCAACATGGTTCTCATGGGTCCATTTGTAGCTCATACGCTCTTAACAACCTTATATCCTCATGTGCAACTTCAAGATCACTTTACATCGGTATTCAAATTCATTCATTTGTTATCAAGATGGGTTTTTCTCCGCATGTATATATCAGCACTGCTCTTCTGGACATGTATGGCAAATGTGGTGTAATATCCGATGCTCAGAAACTGTTCGACGAAACGCCTCACAGAAATGTGATTACATGGAACTCGTTAATTTCAGGTTACCTTCATACCCATTACGTGGATTTTTCAGTCGAGTTGTTTCTACAAATGCTTAGATTGGGAATATATCCAACTCATTTTACTATTTCAGCTGTCCTTGTTGGGTGTTCACAGTTGGAAACTCTCGAATTAGGGGAACAAGTGCATGGGTTAAGTACAAAATTTGGGTTTCTTTCTAATGTTGTGGTGTGTACGTCTTTGCTTGAGATGTACTGGAAATGCTCTAATGTAGATGATTCTAGAAGAATATTTGACGAAATATCTGATAAAAATGCTGTTGTTTGGACCTCAATGATCACTGGTTACACACAGAATCAACAAACCAACATTGCAATGTGCATGATTAAAAAAATGCTGGTTTCAGGTCATAAAGCAGATTCCATAACTTATAATACTTTGTTGAGTTCCTTTTCCAATACAGATGACATGATCCATTGTGAACAAATTCATGGCTCAATCATAAAACAAGGGTTAGATTCAGATGTTTATTTAGCAGTTACTTTAGTCACTGTTTATTCAAAATGTGGTAGCAGCTTACAAGACTTCCACAAAATATGTGCCACTCTCCCACTAAGGAACAAAATAACATGCAACGCCATTATTGCTGGATTTTCAAACATGGGAAATGTCGAGAAAGCCCTTGGTGTCTTTTCGGAAATGAGACAGATAGGTATTGATACTGATTTCTTTACAATTTCAAGCATTTTAAAAGTTATAGGAGTTATGTCAAGTTTCAAAGAGGGTAAACAAATCCATGGTCTTATAGTCAAGTCAGGTCACTCTTCAAATATATACATACAAAACGGGCTTATTTCCATGTATGCAAAAAGTGGTAACTTTGATGAAGCAAAATTGATGTTTACATCAATGGTGGAACATGATACAGTGTCATGGAACTCACTTCTTTCATGCTATGCTCAACATGGAAAAGGTAAGGAAGCGGTTGAAGTTTTTGAAGAAATGAGAAACACGAAAGTCAAACCTGATTTGACCACGTTTCTTATTGTGATTTCCGCTTGTGGTCATGTAGGATTGGTGAAGAAAGGGTTAGAATACTTTGAGTTAATGAGAAGTAATTATGGTTCACCAAAAGTTGAACATTATGCTTGTGTTGTTGACCTTTATAGTAGAGCTGGTTTTCTTGATGAAGCAGAAGTGTTTGTGAATAAATTGGGAATGGAAGTGGGACCCGAGGTGTATAAAGCTCTGTTGAGTGCTTGTAGGGTTCATGGAAATAAGGAAATTGGTTTACGAATGTCAAGAAAAATTGTTGATTTGTTTCCTGATGATCCTGCAGTTTATGTGCAGGTGTCGAATGTTTTGGCTAGTAATGGTTATTGGGATGATTCTGCTAGAGCACATAATTTGATTTGTAGTAAAGGAATCAAGAAAAAAGCTGCGTGTAGTTGGATATAACTTGACTTAATGCTAAGTTTTTTCTTTCTTGTGTATGAAAATTGAAATTAGAATGATTAATCATCTATTTTGAGGTTGTGACAGATTATTCTTTTGGATAATCTTACTGATTTTTACTAATTGGTTTGTATTTATATTGGTATGATTTGTGTCTGTGAATTGTATGCTTTGTAAATGGTTTGTCATTTTTATGCTTTATTTGGATTTCAATTTTGTTGGTTGGATGATCATTTACAACTTTATAACAGAACATGTAAAAATGATCATTTATTTAACATTGATAATGTTCATTCAGATTTAAAAAGAAATACATTTTATATGCAACACTTTATCGATGCAGACAATTTTTCAGACATAAAAAGAAACAGACATGTAGTTGGATTAATGTCATTCGATGATGCGACTTTCAACATGTGTATCATAGATAATAGTGTCAAAATGGATGGTTCAAAATTCAGAAATGTCGGTTGATAACTTATACAGTGTAAGTGATTTTCCACCTATGATTCTGGTTGTTCTGGAAAAAATTCTTTATTGTAAATAATGGCTTTGTTAAAAATGATTATAAAACCTTTTTTTTTAACTATAATAATCTAATTTTCAAATTCAAACAGTTCTAAGGATTGGAATAAGCACCTTCGCGTAAGAAAAATGATAGTTTATAAAACAAAAAATCTCAATGATTTGATAACTAACCCAATAAACATTTATAACACAAAAGTAAGCAATTTTCTAATAAAGTTCGTTAAATCAAAATTCAGACCCACAATCAGGGTTCAACTCTTAGTCCATATAGTTTCGCCTTGATCTTGGAGGTATTAGATCATCCATTATATCCACCACTAACCGCTATAGTGGTGAGTATCACCTCATCACCACATTCAACCACTAAACATATGAGATACCCACCACTATATCCCTTTTATTTTTTATTTTTAAATTAATTTTTTTTTTATTGTAGAGAGAGATTAAGAGAGATAGGGAGAGATAGAAAGAGAAAGAATTGTATTGGGAGTGCTCTTCCGTGGTGTGAACAACAATCCACCACGACCACTACCAACCACTAAGCACCGGGATGGTGTTCGTGGTCAGTGATCGTTGCCACATCAGCCATGAAAGCCTTCGTTGTGAGTATACCGGTTGGTCTTACATGACACTTGGGGAAATGTCTTGGTGATGCTTTTCATTGATGATATTGTGTTGGTGGCCGGGTCTAGGACCGAGTTGAATGTCCGGTTGGACACTTTGAGGTCGACGTGGGAAGAAAAAAAGGTTACAGATCAACACCACTAAAATGGAGTATCTATGATGCAAATTTTTAGTGGGGAGACAAATGATATAGGTGTAGATATTAGTACCGGGGAGCAAGCTCTCCACTTGAGAGTTTCAAAGTATTTCAGATTTATGATCCATAAGGGAGGGGTGTGGAGGTACATGTCAGCCATCGCATAAATGCGAGTTGGGTAAGTACAATATCAGGAGAGTCTTGTGTGATAAGAAAATGTTACATCAAAATTGAAAGGTAAGTTTTACGGAGCACATGATAGCAATTAGACCTATCATGATGTATGGATGAGGATGTTGATGTCGACGAACATGCCAGAGGTCATCTATGTGACAACGACACACTTGCTTTCCAAGGCATACAATCGACATTCATAAATGGGATTTCTCGGGGTTTGTTGTCGTGTAGTTTTACAATTTTCAGAAGCTTACAACTACTTTTACCAAACCCTTGTGCGACTGCAAAATGTTTAAAGGTCAAACCATAAAAGACATTTCTAATTGCTAAAACATAATAATTATTGTATATGACAACTTGAATCAATTTGTAATTGGATACAATTATGGCTTGTATTTGCAAATAAATAACTAATTTTCTGAACAAATTCAAAGAACTTACAACATTTAAAGAGCTAAATACATTTGTATTAAAAAAATGATGCCACATTTGGTGTTGGGATTAGCCTTCACAACCCTAATTCCCTTTTTAATTGAGCAAGTGCAGCTTCAATTTCATCTATGTTTTCTTCAATACTGCTTCCTTTACTATCATTTCCATTTCTACTCTTACCAGAAGTTGCAGGTTCTTCATATCTTCTTTGTGTTTCATCTTCACTGTCTGTAATGTTCAGCTCCTTTTCAAGAAACTCAACAAATTCTTCCCCAATTTCCTAACAAATTCAAAACTTTTAGTAAATTCTTGTTTTATCCATTATTCATTGAATCAATTTAGAGAAATTATTACCCCTAATTCCTCCCATAAGCTCTTGGGCTTTGCTCCAGAAGGAGCACTTGCTTCCCAGTTCTTATATTCTTCTTGCAGATCTCTAAGGAAGTCCCCTGTAACAAAAAAAAAAAAAAAAAAATCAAGATTTCAAGAACACTAGACAACATAGATTTCATTTTCAAGATTACAAATTTGCCCAAATCGGTAAATTTTTATGTTACTTTGATATATCTGTGATAAAAAGATGTGTCTACCTAATGATATTTGAACATCCCTCACAAAATTACCTGCAGTGACATGAAGCTCAAATCTTAATCATATCAAAGCATGAGGTTTTTAATGGGACCCACAAAATGAAAATGTTGGATTTCCAAAATGGATTGTTTGTAAGATTTTGCAAGAGAGGTTATTTCAATGATTTGACATATGATCACTTAATGATACATCATACACTCATATACAAATAAGAAAACAAGTGAAAGTTCAATGTGTATAAATTAAATTAATTTAATTTACCAAAACCATAAAACTCTTCATCTTGAGCAGGCTTGTATGCTTCAGATGTACGATTTCCAGAGTCATACTTCCTTCTTGAATCAGAGTTGAGTACTGTATTGTATGCATGCTTTATTCTCATAAATTTCTCTTGAGCATTGGGCTGAGAATCAAGAATTCAAACATTTGTTAAACCTTTCATTACTTCACATGATGAAATCTTTTTGTTCTATTAATTGCAAGAATCTTTGATGTTTCTAAGGCCTATTCACAAAGTGCCAGTTATGACATAAAAATAATGGCAAGCTTTAGGCATTACTTGTTCTCTTTTGGGAATAAGCTTAAAGAATGACATTAATTATTTCTTTTGAGACAATTGGGATTCAAACAATAAACCATCTCTGCACACATCTTTTAATCAAATGATCACCATTGATGACATAGCACCATACTTTCATTCATACTATATTCTTAGTTCCCTCTTCTTACCTCTTTAAACTTTTTATGATTCGAGTTGAATTTGTAAAATTTGTCGATTTCATAGGTTAAAATGGCAAAAAGGTTGCAAGTCTGCCTCCAACAGTTAGATCAGATATCCATTATAAGAAGCAATAATAACATGGAATTAACTAAATTAAGAAACATTGAAATTCGAAACAAAAAGCTCCATGTTTCGTAATCACTATGGAACACATAAATTCACCAATAGTTCTTTGTTGACTACAAAAGCAAAATAATTGAAGAACTTGAAATACCTCTTTGTTTACATCAGGATGATACTTCAAAGCAAGTTTCCTATAAGCCTTTTTGATCTCATCAGGAGTAGCAGAGGGAGAGACACCCAAAACTTGATAAGGAGACTCTCTACTACTGGCTTTGACAAGGGTTTTAGAGTAATTTCGTCCTATTCTTCTTCTCCTTCCATCCAAATTCCGGTAGATGGGTGAGCAGGGAAACGAAGCGCGAATAAGAAAGTTACAATTGAGACGACCGCCATAGCCAAATCTGCAAATGGGTACGGAAAAAGTTGGTTGATTTTGGAAGGAAAAGGGGATATGGGAAGAACTGGAATTCAAGGGCTTGAGATTTGGGGATAAAGGTTGGGGAACTCCATGCATATTCATCAAGTCATAACCGTGTAAAGATGAGCAGGCAAAATAGAAGGGTTTGTGGATGTGGGTGATCTAACGAATGAGTATATGGCGTGGGTTAAATTAGCACTAGATGCCATTCATCTTGAGGAAGGGTGTATTGTGTATACACTATACACTATTCTTGATAGTTATTCACTTGTTTGATTATGAATTTGATAAAATTAGTTATGATATGGGTAAAAAGGTGTGTTTGAGATTGCGTTTAATAATTAATTATAATTATTATATTTTTGAAATTTATATAAGTTAGTTTTTGTATCGTATCATATATTACATTATCAAAATACATCTTTTACCATATCCCAATTGCCTATTTTAACTAATTCTATGCATACCCAATTCGTGATGTTTAAAGTTTAAACCATAGGTGATCTTTAAAATGATGTTTACATCTTTAGTACCACCAAATCTTGCTGAGTATTTAATTAAATAGATCTTTGAACAACTCCATATCATAAAATCAAAATGTAGTGAATACAATTATGCAACATTATTAAATGATTTTTTCACAAAATAAATCAGCAATTTGTTAGTTTATAAGCTAGCTAAAAAAATAAAATTTTATAAAACCTAACTAAAAGATATAAAATAACATAAACCATATTTAAAATGATTCATTTTTAATCAATTAATGGTATATTTGGAAATGAAAATTAGTTTGGCAGCTTTTTAAAAAATTAGCATAAAAGTTATATTTTAATTTGTCAAATATGACATTAACAAACAATTTTATCAGGAAAATTATTCATACAAATTATTAATTTTAAGAAGGGATTTTCTAATTTGTCAAATATGACATTAACAAACAATTTTAATTTGTTAATGTCAAATATGACATTAACAAACAATTTTATCAGCTTTTTATTCATATAAAAAGTATTAATTATGAAAAATACTACCATAATTAAATGTGAAATGCATTAATTATGGAAATGATTAATGAATTTTACAATTAATTACGGTAATATTTCTTATAATTAATGTATTTAATATTTAATTATGATAATAATTATGATTAATTAATACTTCTTATATGTGCTTTTAGGGCACATATTAGAAAATCTCTTTTAAGAAATGTTTAATGATAAATGATTTGTATAAAAAATAAATAACACACAAGAAATAAATGAGTAATTTTATCATACATACGACCCAACATGTAATTTTATTAGAAAAATATTTATATAAATAGTTAATTTTAAAAATATTTAATGATAAATAATTTGTATAAAATTATATATATTGTATTTATATTAGGAAAAAAAATCACATAAGAACATAATAATATTTAACGTGATTCAGTTAATATAACATATATTAACGGACCATGACTAAATATTTTTGAAACTAAAAATATAATTGAAACCATAACTATATTATATCAACATAGCACAAAATATCATAACTAGAATAGGACGTAGTTACAATTGGTCACAAATATAGGGCGTCTAGGTTGATTTGAATATTTTTATAAATAAATAAAAAAATCTTTTTAATCATTACATAAATAAAATTTGTTTAAATGAGAAAATAGTACATACACAAAATGAGTGGGAAGGTAACACCATTATGTTGAAGACAAGCCGAGGAATCTCGAAGTCGAAGGAGTAGAATTCGAATTCGGAATTTTGCAATTCCCAAGGAAAATGCTCGCTGGTTTTTGTCATCGGCAGTTTTTCTATGCATTGTTTTCATTTTTCACAATCACCTTCCGATTGGTACGTAAAAATTATCGAAACTTATGCTAGCAATCGAGCACTACAATTAGGAAAACGGCTACATGCTCACCTAATCATCAATGGCTTAGCTCGTTCCACACACGTCGCCTCAAAGCTCATATCTTTCTACACCGAATGCCGTCAAATATGTGATGCCCGCAAACTGTTTGACGAAATTCCCAAAAGAAACACTCGACGTTGGATTGTTCTGGTAGGCACATATGCACGCCACAGCTTCCACCAGGAGGCCATGGGCGTGTTCTGCGAGATGCAAAGAGAAGGGCTGGAACCCAACAAGTTTGTAATACCCAGTGTTCTAAAAGCATGTGGGCACCTTTTGGATCGACAAACAGGGGAGAAATTACACGCTGTTGTTGTAAAACAAGAATTCGAATCTGATCCATTTGTTATTAGCGCATTGATTGACATGTACTCAAAATGTGGGAAAATCAATAAAGCAAGAAAGGTGTTTGATGTGATGGTAGAAATCGATTTGGTGGCTATGAACACCATGGTTGCAGGCTATGTTCAACACAGACTAGTCAATGAAGCCTTAATCTTGGTTGAGAAGACACAATCAATAGGAGTAATACCAAATTTGGTGACATGGAATACACTAATTGCAGGATTTTCACAAGCCAATGATGATTCAAATGTCGCTAAACTATTCCAATCGATGAAGGAATCCGGGATTCCACCCGATGTAGTTTCTTGGACTTCAGTCCTCTCTGGATTCGTTCAGAATCTTCGAAATCAAGAAGCTTTTGATTTGTTCAAGAAAATGTTGGCAACTGGAATGCATCCAACTTCAGCTACAATCAGTTCTCTTCTTCCTGCTTGTGCAAATCTTACAGATTCAGCTCATGGGAAAGAGATTCATGCATATTCCATAGTTATGGGAATTGAAAAAGACATCTTTGTTTCTAGTGCTCTTATAGACATGTACTCCAAATGTGGCTTCATATACGAATCCAAAACACTCTTTCACAACATGCCTGAAAGAAACACAATCACATGGAACTCAATGATATTTGGATTTGCAAATCACGGAGATTGTGATGAAGCAATTAGGTTATTCAATCAAATGGTTGACCAAAAAGTCAAACTTGATCATCTAACTTTCACAGGTGTTTTAACTGCTTGTAGCCAGTGTGGGATGATTGAGCTTGGTAAAAAGCTGTTCTTGATTATGCAAGAGAAATTCAAGATTGAGCCAAGATTAGAGCATTATGCTTGTATGGTGCATTTGTTTGGACAAGAAGGGAAATTAAAAGAGGCTTATGAGTTGATTCATGAAATGGGGATTGAGGCTGATGTGTATGTATGGGGTGCGTTGTTGGGTGCTTGTAAGCTTCATGGAGATGTTGGTCTTGCTGAGGTGGCAGCTAAGCGTGTTGCTGAGCTGGAGCCTGAAAGTGCTGGAAGTAGTTTAGTGTTGTCGAATATGTATGCTGATGCTGGAAGTTGGGGATATGCTGCTAGGGTTAAACGAATGATGAAGAAGATGAAGATGAAAAAGGTTCCAGGGAGTAGCTGGATTGGAGGTGTGTGATTAGTATTGATTTTTTTTTTTTTTTTTTTTTTTTTTTTTTTTTTTTTTTTTGTACAACAATCCAAAAGTATCAAAACCGAAAAATTGAAATTTGAAGTCTCTCATCTGCGGATATCATACATATGCATATACATATAGTCAAGTCATAAGTCAACAAGAACTTATTAAATATGATCATACAAAGAAGTTAGTTAGAAGTTGTCACCAAAACAGGCCTTGCATATAGAATCTAAAATCTTAATTGAAAATTTCGATATCATCCTATCGAGATATGTGGAAGTTTAATGATCATTACTTCGAAAACATCTCAATTATATAAATATACCCAAGAGATAGAACTTGTGATACATGTTATATGTATTGCAAATAGTAAAAGAAAAAATATCTATGCTATGAAAAAGTTATAAAACAAAAAGAACTAGATACTATGTAATTTTAATATAATTACCTAAAAATATATATATATATATATATATATATATATATATATATATTTTAAATTAAAAAAATTATTTATTTGGAGTTTTAATTTTTTCTAAAAGAAATTAAATTTATTAAAAGATATATTTGGAGTTTAATTCGTTCTTTTAAAAAACTAAAAATATTTTCTTTGGAATGAGATTAAAATCAGTATAAGAGATGGAAGCATAATCTAAGACGAATGATAAATTTCATTCTTTCTTGGCATTCAAAGAGGATTTTTCAATTTGTCATAATGTTGTATTTCATTCACATTTGGATATTACTTATCAAATGCTATTGCTATTCTTTTTTCATATTTTTATAGCTTGCTTACGATAAAAAAAAAAAAAAAAGAGATAGAATTTATATATGTCACTCTTAAACTGCAAAATATCATATTTGTCCAACTTAATTTCTCAATATCATATTTATCTTTCATAAACCTTCAAAATATCATATTTGCCCAGATCATTTTTAATAATGTTTTTAATATTTTATAATCATTCGTTATACCTTAGAATTATTATAATGATTAAAAATTTTAACAATGTTATCCTTAGGTCTATGATAATGAAATGTAAACTTTTAAATTGTTGGAATGTCGTCTTCTTGACAAACAAAAATATTCTTCTTCAACCCTCTCTATGGAATGTATATTTTGATTATTTAGTTTTTGTTATTGTTGATTATTATCATGTTGTAGATGAAGGATATTTTAGATATTACCATTGATATTTTGATTATATATATATATATATACACACACACACAGACACTATATTTTGATATTTAAGAAGGTATATATAATATTTTGATGTTTAAAAGAACATGTATGATATTTTGAAATTTTATGAAGGGTAAATATGATATTTAAAATTTTTATGAAGAATAAATATAATATTTAGAAATTAAGTTGAGTAAATATGATATCTTGATGTTTAAAAGGATATATATATATATATATATATATATATATATATATATATATATATATATATATATATATATATATATATATATATATATATATATATATATATATAGGGAAATGATCAAATGAGAACACCTAAAAGGTTGAGAACGTGAGAACAAGTATATTCATTTGTGATTCCATGTATTCATTTGTAGCGAAATGATAAATTTTTATGCACAATCAATATGAATATGCTTTTTCTTTTCAATTGAAATTAAAGGCGTAAAAATTTATCATTCCTCCACAAATAAATACATGGAATCACAAAAGAATATACTTTGTTCTCGCGTTCTCAACCTTTTTGTAACATCCGAAAAACACAACCAATTTAAAATTTTCAAAACAACCCGATTTTCATTAAAATGTTTACAAAAGGTTTTCAATACAATTCATTTAAGTATTCCCAGAATCATGTCGTTACGAAATCATAAGGAGCGGTACGATCGCGCCTTCGCCTTGCCACAGTCTCCTGAAGAACCTGAAAAACATTAAACCACAACTGTAAGCCCGAAAGCTTAGTGAGATACCCCCAAGATACCAACCACGCATACGCCCTTCCAGGCTACGACCTTCCGGTCCAAAACATATAAATCATACATAACATAACAGAACATAGAACAACCATGCATATCGGGTCTAACGTGACTGGTCCGCCGTATCGGGCCTTCAGTCCTTCGGATCCATCCTCCGGGTCTAGTCATGTCCTTCGAGTCTACAGTGGGGTTGGTCCGCCCGCATCAGGCCTTCAACCCACCTGGTCCACTCTCTGAGTCTACAGTGTGACTGGTCCGCCCGCATCGGGCCTACAGTCGGCCTGGTCCACTCTCCGAGCCTCGGCACGTCTGGTCCGCCCTCATGGGGCCTACAGCCTATCCGGACCGCTCGCTGGGCCTTCGGAACAACCGGTCCGCCCTGGGTATCTTGGCCTACAGCACAAAGCAGGACCCGCCTCAACCCATCTCCAGTCCAAACAACCATGTGCACAAAACATACATTCATATAACAGTCATAATCAACAAACCGAGTAAACAGATCACATAGCATATCATTACTCTAACGGGCTACCGACCTACCGTTCACTAGCATACACTACTTGCATATCGAGGACTGACCTTTACAAGGTCCCCTAGCATGTACCATCCTAACTACCAGGATGCAGACACAACCAGCAATAACATGATAAACGTAACTGAATCTCAATACAATAAAGGGCCGGCCTTGGTGCCTTAGACCCTGTTGATATAGTGAGGATAACTCACCTCGAAACTGCGGCTGAAAAGATAAGATCCCGCTGCTCGAACTCTGGCACAACTCCTCCACTGAACATCAAAACATAAACCCATAAATACCCTTAATTACCGAAATACCCCTGGAAGACAACTGATCAACCCTGGACAAGTCAAAGTCAACCCCTGACAGACCCTACTCGCCGAGTCAACCCGATGACTCGCCGAGTCCTTATGCTCAGACTTCCCTCACTTAGTGACCCAACTCGCCGAGTCACCCCAAGACTTGTCGAGTGCAACAACTCTGAGTCCACTCGCACCCAACTCACCGAGTCATCCCTCGACTCACCGATTCGTCGACTCAACCAGGAATATTGGGACTTCCTCGACATGACTCGCCGAGTCCAACTGGACTCGCCGAGTCCAAGGCAATCTTCAACCTACTCGCCGAGTTGTTCTTCCAACTCGTCGAGTTCAAGGCCATCTTCAAGCAACTCGTCGAGTCCACCCATGTGACTCGCCGAGTTCCACCGGTCTGAATCCATACAGAAGCATCTCAGGCCATGCAATTGATCCAAAACATAGATCCAGCCTCCTACAATCCATCCATCACGTAAAGTGGCAAACTTTACGTGAATCAAACGAGATCTAGGCCATTTTCACCTTAAAACCAAGGTTTGGGACATGATAGCTTCACTCATAGCACAAAGGTTGGGACTTTAATGCACTCAATGACTTCTCCACTCCAGATCTGAGGTAGCAACCTCAGATCCATCCTCCAACACCAAAATGTCACACAACCAAGCATCCCACACAACCCCAAATGATGAAACTAGGAATGCACAGCTTAAGGACGAAGATATTACCTCCAGAAGATGCCTCAATAACAGCTAAACACGAATCCAAGCAAAGCCCTTTGATCCAAACCACTTCTCCTTCAAGATTTCTCCAAGCAACACCTCTCCAAGCTCCAATTTGCTCCACCAATGCTCTTCTCCACGAGATTAGGGTTTCTGGAACTCAAGGGGGGAATAAGAGAGGCTGTGGAGGGGTATAAGGCTCTTTATATAGGGCTCAACCCCGGAAATTAGGGTTTTCTTCATACAGCACCTACTCGCCGAGTCCATCCCATGGACTCGCCGAGTAGGCCACTTGACACGCGACCATGACTGCGACCGGACTCGCCGAGTCAGCCATGGACTCGCCGAGTCATCCTCTAAAACTTGCACTTTCAGCCCTTCAACTCTACTCTTGCGATTTCGGGATGTTACAATTCTCCCCCACTTAAATTAGGCTTCGTCCTCGAAGCCTACGGCATCTCATCTTCAAATTACTTCCCACGACGCGCCACTTGACCTTGACCGAACCAAGTCCCTCAAGGTACAACCATAGAACTAGAAGCTCACTTTCTCCTTCCATACGGTGTCCCCACCACCTACTCAAACCGGGCACCAACTGTACCCTCCGATAACCACACTCAACAACCGAGAATTACCCATGATGCCTTATTGCTCCAATTCTCATCTTTCACTCGACTCATATGGCTATAAAGCCACGGACCATTGGATTCTCGATCCGAATTCCACTCTATCCATCCCATGACGACCGAAAGACCCAATCTTCCATTTCGGAGCATTTTTCCCCGAGTTCTCCTCTCGCCATCACACACACATGCTGATCTGGCTCTAACACCCTCTAGTATGGACAATCTGATATACTGACAATATCCTCAACATCCTCCCAGGATAAACCACTGATACATACCCAGAACCCTGATCAGAATCTCATTGAGAGACCAAGACTCATGCTCTGCATCCCTTACGAACTCCTCTCCCTGGCTCCACGACGCGATATTCCTTCCGCGCCCAGAGCAACATATCGAGTCGAATAAGCTTATATTCTGCCGCCGCAACACACTACTCAAAGACCATCGACGGCCCACTGCGTTCGCAACTCTACACTGCCGCTTTCACTTCCGTGAATTCGCACTCCCCTTCCGGAGTTCCATTCCTCCCTCTTTCCTTACCAAGGAAACCACTCATCTGTCCAGTCACCATGACAGGCACCATGGTGTTCATCCTACGCCACATTACCTCTTTAAAGCGTACTCAACCTCCATGCATTACCGCTACTCTGACTCTCATCACAAGGGATCTCGAGCCCATGCACTACCTTCACTGCTCAAGATTGCCAGCCGGGGCCAGACCTCCCAATGTATTCTCACTGCAACATACGCAACCCATAACCTAACCGATCTAACAATACCCGCAGAGTCTTCAGCATGACTGGACCGCCTCCCCAGGCCTTCAGCCAAACTGGACCACTCTCAGAACCTTCAG